TACACCAGAAAACTTCTAATAAAAGAGACAAGTTCTTAATTCTCATAGAAATATTTAATAGATTAGTTGATCCAAAAATCCTTACTAACCACTCATATAATCTATCTTCAGTCTAAAAATTTACTTTCTCTTCACCTCTTCATGCAATCCTGCTTGACCATGACCACTCAAATAAAGTTTTAAAAAAATTAGCTCTTAACCATCAAATTAAGTGTCTTTCAACTTATGAACAAAAACTAATATTTGATAGTCATCATCATAACCGCCACAATTAATCTTATTCAAACTTTTTGCGGACGACTAATGTTTGATAATGATTTTATTAAATATTCTACTATCAAAGGCATATACATCAATTTTCACTTTCATAGGTGTAAGTAACAATGAAACTGCAGGACTAAAACTTTTCTACAAATCTCGTCTGCATCCATCCATCTAATTCTCATTTAAGTTCAACAAATTTAGTTGAATTCCAATAAGATGAAAGATTAGGAAAAATGACAGAGAAATTTAATTAATATCAATGTTTTGTGCTTATAAATGATGATAATGCATCTAAAAGAATACCATGATGCATATCGTTAAACTTAAATAATGTTTTATTGACATCTTTGACTTGTTCATAGTTTTATTAATTTTATATTTAGATTCAACTACAAAAAAGGCATATCCATTCTTTTTTTAAACATTTATACAAATGCATGATAATTTAAAATATGAAAACATTATCAGCTCATTAATAAGTGTTTTAGAATCTTTTGTAAATGAAGTAAAACTCTAAGCTTGATAAAGTAAGAAAATATTTTCCATCAAATATTTTTAAGTAATAGATTTTTTAAAATGGGAAATACCTAAATTATATAATTACAAATGACCAAACTTAAGTGTCTTATCCATAGGTAAAATATCATAACATATCTAATCAACATATATATAGTAAAATGAATCCGCACTAGATTTTTTATAATAAAATTTTTATTTGCATATGCTACCTTCTAGTTATGCTAGTAATTTTGATTTTAATTTCTTGCACCCTATAGCCAAATAGCCATAACATTCATGCAGTGATGAGTGACTATAATAAGCTTAATTTATCTCTATATTTAAAATAAGTTGGAAATAAGAAAACTCTATCCAATCAAATTTAATTTAAGTGTGGTGATAATGCATCTCATAACATTTTTGGAATGCTTTAAATTCATAATTATTTATGTCTAGAACAAATTAATGCATGTCATTAAGTTCATTAATTTCTCCATCATCTCCACTCTATATGAGGGTATCAAAACTTCTAGTTGGACCATTCAATACTCATTTGCAAGATTGACACTTCAAATATTCTTCAGGAAAACTTTTAAAGCACACACACTTCCAATGGATTTTCTTTTATTTTATTTATTAATTGTCACGCCACTACTCTTAGATGCGGTAGGCCCAACAGTGTGTGTTCTAATTTCCAAAGCCTCGCTAAGCCTAGCACGACTTTTCTTCACTCAGAGAGATAAATCAGGTTAAGATAAAACAGAGACGTCCACATTTGATGTTTTGTGTTTCTTCATTGCGACCTAATCTTCTCCCCTCCCCTGTGATTTCCCATCCATCGTTGGTGAGCCAAAGTATGAAAAAAAAAAATACGAAACAGCTTCACAGGCTTATATTAGCTAACATTTTAAATCGACCAAATGGCTTAACCTACAATTTAAGATCATTAGCTTACATAAATAAAGAAGCAAGCCAGCCCTGAGAGAATTTAGTAGTGTATGCACTAAACCTATTAGGAATAAGATTTTTCAACAGTGACAAAATTAGGAGCGTATGAACTAAACCTATTAAGAATAATGTGTCATTTCTGTTTTAAAATTAGCCCCTAAACCTGATCAAGATCCTGGAAAAATTATTTTAGGATCTTCCACTATTCAAAAATAAGTTAATAATACTCCTCAAATTTATTCATATATTTAGAAATCATGTTTGCTTCCTGTTCTAAAACACTAGAATCATCAACAAATGATAAAGGAATGATAATGGGGTATACTCTTATTCAAGTGTAACTTACATTTTTGTCCAAATTAACACAAGTCTTTTGTTAAGCTTTTCTCTTTAGTTTTTTCACATGTATCAAATATATTTTAGCTTTGCCAATTAATTTTCAAGTAAATTAATCTTATTTGATGCTCATCCGACAGCTACTCATTCAATAAATTTATCCACAACATTGACCCAAAAAAAAGTTTCTCATTCAATAAATCTATCCACTCACCAAATGTAGATAATTTGATGTTTAGTAATTCATCATGCAAATCACACATGTAATACCTATAATTGCCAAACATCTCATTATCATTCAAGGATTACATATATGAATATTTCTGCCGCATTAACATTCCAAACATTTATAAGGATTCAGGATCAAATTAACAAGTTCTCTATATGATTGAAAAATTAGCTTTTTATTCATAAGGGTTGTTGTTAGGTGAGAATAAACAATTTATAAAATTTAGATTCTTTCTCTAAGCAGATTCGTGCCTCCCTCCATTACTCGTCTAAATAGCAGCTAATCATTTTCTTTTTAAATTTCCTAAGATCTCATCCCTTTGTTGATTTGATGGAGATAGCATAATGTGTGCAGATTTGTAAAAGAGACGCAGGAAATGGAATAATCACAAAAACCAGAACCTAACAGAAGAGCCATAGAAACATAAAACCTAAATAGCAACAAAAGCTAAAAGAAACCCATAATGAAGTAACATAGCACGCAATTGAAAGGAAAATGAAATGTCAGCCCTGAAAATATGATATCATCATAGGAATAAAAATAGAGACTCCCCCTAACTCAACTAAATCTAACCAAAAATCAAACAGCAAAATCCAATATTTAAATTTGATTTTAAATAAAAAAATTCAACTTCCAGAAAAATAATTTACATTTCTAGCAGCTGTATGGTTTGAGATTCACAGCACTTATTCTGCTTAGAAGTGATTCACATTTTCAAAAGAAAATGAACAAAATGTCAAGGAACAATAGTTAAATACAATGGTCTAATCAGCCAATGAGGGTCTAGGGAAGGTTTGATATACATGGTCTAATCCCAATAATACAAAGGGGTTGTTTCATAAAGAGAATTATAACTATCTTTTAATGGTTACTGTCATTTCATAATTCTTCCATAGTGAAGTTTACATGGCACCAAAGGCTATCCTTCATATATCTACCACCTAACATCAGAGAGGGGTATTTTAATAGAACATTTTATTAATTGATTAGAATTTGAACTACTGTACAATGGATTTCAAAGACATAAAATCATAAATAATATATAATTAAGGACTTTTAATATGAAATGTTAAAAAAATTAACTTAAATTAAATCCATGCCTAAGCAACTATGAAGTACACTTCAAATAATTAACCCAAACATAGATCATACAAGAAATAATTGATACTGAAAATGTAGCCCCCATTTAATAAAATTATCTCACTTTAGATTCCTCATTTGAAACAGTGTTTTCGAAGCACCAAACACAATGCAATTTATAATGGTTCTTTCTTTCTTCAATGCATAATGCATAAATTGAAGCAACACTTCTACTAACTAAAATATTCATGAGTTGTATATCATATATACATACACTGTGTGAACACAGTAATTACGTAATTAACCGAACTTGAACAGCAACAAGTAGTACTCTTAGAATAAGTATAATGATATATTAAATAACAATAATTTATAGCTAACAAAAGCCAAAAAAATTAAATATAAACAATGAGGTGGTGTAAGAATATACTTAAAAATATCGAAGAAAGAGTCGAAGTAAAGCAAGAAAGAGGGAGAGAGTGTGTATGTGTAAGATGGGGCATCGAAAAGCATTCCGAAGAAGAAATATATGAGCGAGAAGCTAACAAATCTAATAACAAGAACAAGAAAAAGAAAAGAAGAAACACCAAAAATTGACTAGCTCAAATAGAAGACATTAGAGAATCAATAAGAAATGACCAAAATGACTACGAGATAGTGCGAAAAAGCATAGAAATTGTGATTAGAGATTGAACCAAATCATAAAACCTGAATCAGACTTTTGCTCTATCTAGGAGCCAAATGCACAATGCTACAATGCAATGAGCCAAATCAATGTGAGATAGGTGCTTTATTATAAGCTTGCATTTCACAAACAAGTGATATGAAACGTTAACACATCACTAAACTTCACCAATAAAGCACACTTTGAAGTTTGCTTTGAACAACAATAATTCAAAATAATGGCAGCTCCTCATCAAATAGCTATGGTTCTGATTCAGAACAATAAACTCATAAATGGAAACTCCAATGATCACCAAAGCTTCAACTTATTAAATAATCAAACCAAGAAAATTTCTAATTTTAGAGCAAATTTAGCATGATCTGTATCTCTAGTTGATTGAACAATAAGTATGATGAGTTTTCCTTTTCCTTGATTTCACTCAACAGCGACTGGAATGCAACAAAATGTTAGCAAAGATATCGAATGAGTAGCAGTTGAGAAATCTTTTCATCAAAATGACGAATTTCCCAACTTCACAATATACATAATCTATACACAAGGATTTCAAGCTCTCCCTAAGTATGAATGCATCTATATAAAGAATTTCTTATCCCCATAATTAAAAAAGGATTTTTTTTTACGTGACAGATTAATGTTAGAATTTATTAAGAGGAAACCTCTCAATTATTTTCACAGTAAGTACATATTCTTCAACATATACTGCATGAATTTGGTACCGTATTCATATCTCAAACATGTACCCCTCTTCATTATAAAAACATGTAAATTAAAAAATATAACTATAGTAATCTCTGAAAGTAAATGAAGTGCGTTAAAGCAAATTTATAGGAATAAAAGGAGAAATATACAAAATGGCAGGAAAATAGGAAATGTATAAGCTCAATGAAATGTTTAATGCATATTGGTAACTAAATAGGACTAAAATAAAATGGTCGGAAAAGAAGAGAGAGAGATAAGAACCTGAGCTTCAGAGCTTCCTTGCAGCAAAGAAAACATCTGAGAAACATGTTTTGGTACAGCAGAAACGGCACCACTAGTTGCTTGGCCGCCTTCACAAGAACCCGGGGTATGTTCAGGTGTAAAATATACTCTGAAAAAATCTCAAAACAATCAAAGACTAAAATAAGGTTATTTAACTCCATAATAATAAAAAATATAAAATCCGCTTTTGCAAGAAAAAAAAACAATGCTATTAATTGTCTATTAGCTATTCAAGTTATGCAACGTGTATCAATCGATTGAGCAAATCTAAATAAAGCATACAAAATGTAAAACTCACTTCTCCAGCGCTTCTTTCAGATCAGTAGTGGCCTCCTTGGCCTCCTCGATGGTCGGAACAGGACCGAAAACCAATCGAGGAGCAACATCAACTGATTCAAGAATTTGTTTTTCTTCATCTGCAGCGAAATCCCACTCATCAAATTCCCACTCGGGCCAGCGGGCTGCGACGGTTATTGCCGGGGTCTCATTTACTGCAGGACCGGCGGAAAGGCTGGAAACGCTGATCCCAGGCTCGACGGCGGGCAAAAAAGAGGAAGCTGGCGGCCGGGCGACCCTTCGACTCGCCTCACCAGCAAGCGGAGAGCGGAAAGATCCACCTGAGGCAACCTTCGCTGCAGTTCTCAGGACTCCACCGCCCATATTGATCTGCTTATTTTACTCTGGCTCGCTGAAACCCTAAAGGGATGCCGATTAGAGCAATCAATGAGCATGGTAGAGGAAGACGCCGGGATTATCTACTGTTTAGGATAATATCGTCGGTGTTTAATCAACGGTCAGGATTTGTTAGATATGATCGATCTCTCACCAGATTTCATTCCTTCGGCATGAAGGGATTCCTGTGTTCAATATGTGCTCATATTTGAAATCACTTATTAAATATTTTTTGTCGTGTTCGACTTAATTTAAATTTAATGTTCGACTTAATTTAAATTTAATTATATTCATATTAAAATTTTATATATTTTATTTATTTAAGTCATATTGCCCAAAATAATTTTTTCTTTTAAAATATTTCCATAAAAAATAGAAAATTAAAATAATTCTAGCTTCCACATTCTATTTGAGAACTATATTTTTACTATCATTTAACATTTAAAAAGAATTTTCAACCAATATTCTTTTAAATATAGACCATGTGGGATTATATATAGAAGTAGGGAAAAAAATTGTGTATATAAGACATACGTAGCACTTCGTACATAATAGAAGTTATATTTGTGTTATATCGGCATTACATTCTTGTTATATCTCTTATAACCTCCATGTAAACTACATATAATCTACAGATATGTGAAAACAAAGGCACGAAACTTATTTGTAAGTTTAGGTGTGTTATAGGTAGGTTATATGGAGGTTACATCGAGGTTACAAGCGATATAACTCGGATATAATGTGGATATAACGTGGATCTAACCTCTATTATAGACGCAGCACTGCGTACATCTTACATACGCAAATTTTTCTCGTCATTTAGATACATGCCACCAATTCTTATGTATTTACATATGCAAAAAAGACAAAGGATCTGCAGGAATTTTTGGAGGAAATCTTATGGTATTTACATGCATACCACCCAATTCTTACGTATTTACAATTCTTAAATAAAAAAAAAGGAATTCAAGACTTCCAGTGAATGTGCCATTTTATCTATGCATGAAAAAGTGCATTTCATTTTTTTTTTTAATTAAAATGGTGATATTTTTCATGTAATATGAATGATTTGGGTTGTATAAATGTAAAATGGAGTTTAGGTGTTAGAAATGTAAATACATAAGAATTTGGTGATATATATGTAAATGCCCTGTTATTATTTTTATTACTATTGTTATGATTATCATTTAATTCTTGAGTTTTTGTTGAAAATTTTACCATAATTTTTTACATGAAAGAATTGCATTTACCACTCAGCTCCTTAGGGTTAGGGTTAGTCATTTGAATTTGAATATTTAACATATAATAGCAGCATGCATATATATATATATATATATATATATATTAAATTGTTATATTTTCATGTGATATAAAAGATTTTAGTGGTATAAATACAAAAAAAAGTAAAATTTGGAGTTAGAGATTTAAAAGCATAGGAATGAGGTGGTATGTATGTAAATGACCCATTATAAATTTTTTGTGCTAAAAGTATATAAATTGTGATTTTTTTTTTATTTTTTTTTTTTATAACTTAAAATAAATATAAATATTTTTTAATTAATACATTACAAAAGGCAAATTTTATATTATTGTGTGTTAGAAAACTCGTGGCAGTTGGGATGTCAGTTTGAGTTAACACTTCAAATTCAAGGGTCAGCATTTTCATCTCAACAACACTTAATTTTATGTTTCTCTTTTATAGGATAACATTCTGCAACATAAAACATTGAAGGTCTCACCACAATATTTTATTTAATTCTAAGTAACACTTTTTTATCACAGAAGACCTGATGCATTTCTCCACTTCAACCATCCAACTTGAATTCTACTAATAACATCTCCATCTATATCACCATTATTTTGAATAATAAGCCTGAGATATCTAAATTGTTCACTCATTATAATGACTTGATCACCTATAGTTACAACCCCACCATTAGATCTACTAATGTTAAAATTATATTCCATGTATTCATATTTAGATCTACTCAAATGAAAGCCTTTAGACTATAAAGTTCACATTTATAATTCAAGGTTTTCTTGAACTCTCTCTTGTCTTATCCACAAGAAAAGTATCATCAATGAAGAAAATACAAATATGTACATTCTCCTATAAATTTGTACTAAGAATTCGCAACTAAAGGAAAAAATATATGGGATTAAAAATGATCCTTGTTGTAATCCAGCGTAAATAAGAAAATATTTGGTCAATCCTCCTAGTGTTCGAACATAAGTAACATCTTTAGTATACATATCATTAAAGACTTGAATATAAGCAATAGCATCACCTTTCTTTTCTAGATCTCTCCAAAGTACACTTCTCTTAGTACCTTATCATAAGTTTTTTTCTAAATCAAATTTTTGTATCACATTGTAATTTATATTCAATTACTCTCTCTCTCTCTCTCTCTCTCTCTCTCTCTCTCTCTAATTTAATGGATGCCTTATTAAAGCATAATTCCTTTATAATTTGCATTCTTGTTGATGTGTATAAAAACTTGATGTGATACTTCATATATTTTCTTTATTATTTTGTGTATTTTTTATGTTTTTTCACGGTATATCTATTTATATATGTAGTATATATATATATGAAGTCAGCAAGTGAGAGCACAAGGAGCAAAATATAGGCTAACTCTCAACCTGACATCATGGCGCCTAGGGCCATCATGTCAGGTTCTTTGTTTGTTGGACATCTACTGGTGCAGCCCATTTGCGACGCCATGGCGCCAACCTGTTGTTGCTCCATTGCTCCATCTGCCTCCTTTCGCTAAGTTTTCGCTCTAGTTTGCTCCAAATCTTTTACCTTTTATACCTACAACAAAAATATGGAAATACTTTCCTTTAAAGTTCAATTTCATTAAAAATTAAGTGTTAAATATAACGAAAAATTAGCATGCTGCAAATATGTCAAAATCCCCTAAACTTAAATATTACTTGCCCTAAAGTAACACTACAAATTTAAAAATCAAATTTCTTGATTTGAGGTAGTGTGTTTCTTTAGTATTACCTACAGTTTTGCCTCAATAATCTCATAGTGCAACCTAGGGGAAATTCTAGTGAATAGGGCTAGCACTAATGTATAAGAATATCTTGTATTCAACTTAGGAATACTTATTTTATATTCACCTCAAAATTAATTGTAATTTGTCAAACTTGGGATTCCTATAAAGTGTAAAAGACAGAATTTTAAGTACTCTATTAGTAAATATTTGACTAATATATTTATGGAATAAGAACAAGCTTAGAATTGTATCTAAGTTTTCTTCTTTAAGAAAGTTCAAATGACACCAATTTTTTATTAGGCTTCCCTTTAAGCTTTTCCTCATTTTTCATTTATTCTACTTTCCTTTTTCTTTTCCATTTGATTTCCTTTTTTTAAGGATCATTTACAATCCTTTCAACTTTTATGTGAAGTTATTATATCTGGATCAACCTTTAATGGTATTGAAGTTTGTTTTCCTCCTCTTAAAGTTAAAAACTCATCACTTTCCTTCACTTGAGATTTGTGAGTATTAGTTTAAAAATAAGTTTAATAGAGGCTCAATTCTTACAAAGTGTAAATCTAGGAATCCTAATTGTTCAAAAATACATTTTTGTTTTTACCATAAATATAAAAACCATTTTCCTATTGTCTCCCACAAAATACCTTAACTCTAGAACAATCTTTGTTTTTCCAAAATCTCAACAAAGTTTTCCATAACCTTCCTAAAATAAAAAACATAGCATTCAAAAGGTTAACACCACATGCCACAAGTCATTTTAAAGTGATATTAAATTAATATGTAGATTAAATGAGGACAAATAAAGTTAAGCTTTTAAAAATTTTTCTTCACTCCAAACTTAATTTTTAACATGTATAAAATTAAAATCAATAATATAAACAGGGAGAAAATAAAACTTACTTTTTACCACATGATTATATTATAAAAAATACAAGTATAAGAAGAAGATATAAATATGCATGAGTAAGTGAATCTCAGTTCAAAATTTTTCATATGGGATTTCTACATAATAACAAAGGCTAATTCAATTCATCCCAAACAGCAGCAACAAAATATATAGTCCAGTATATGAAAATTAAAATACAACATTTTAACAATGACAAGGAAACATAAATATAAAAGTTCACTACATCCACATGAAAAGTACTATTGTTATTCCCATCATCATCCTCTGAATGCTCATCCATCGCCCTGCGACGTTCAAACAACTAATGCGTCAAAAACGCAGGAAACTCCAATGTCTTAGCTCCTTCAATCCAATTGTTATGTTTACACAATTCCAACAAAAAAGCATGAATACCAGCATCATAATCGCTTCACCGTTTGATCTACAAATCCAAGTGTTCCAAATAATCTGCATTTTCATACACTTGGTTCTGAGTAATGGCAATATCCCCTTCTTAATCTTCAAACATTCCAATATAGAATCCATGCTTGTACAAGGTCTAACTGAAGCATGAGAAGTGGATGATCTAGAAGTAGAAGGAACTTCAGAAGAACTAGTTCCATGTCCAAAAACAACACGTTTCACGTATAAATCTACATTGACCTTACTAATGGGCTTCAATGGATGCATCAGCTCCTCCCCTTTCTCAAAACCAACACCAGACTGCTAATATAAGAGACGAGTATCCTAACCCTAAAGTAGAACTTCTCATTACAGCACTGATGATAGATTTGTAAATAAGAGCGCCAATATCAATATTCTTCATCGGCAGAATACAATAGTTCAAAGCTATCATCTCTCTAGTAACCTCGCCGAGATTCGTAGAAGGAAGAAGCCTGGTCGAAATAAAATAGTGTCATGTCTTGGATGGAACATTTAATTTAGATGAAGAAAAATGTACCTTATGGTTTCCAAATTCCTTTTCCATCAGTTAAGAACTTAATAATATATTCAAGCTGAGAATCAGTAGGTTCAAATGAAGAGTAAAAACAATCAGGTACATCTCCCAAAGAATAGAGTGAATTTATCCATGTATGTGTAAAATTCACTCACAGTTCCCTAAAAAAGACAGAATCATCAGAAGCCTCACTGATATTTGCGTAGAACTCTCTAACAATAAAAATGATGGTGTAGCAAAAAATCTCCTAATGACGAGATACAATGTGTTTTCTACATCACCACTAGGGTAATGAAACCCCGCTTCACAATCAGTTTCTTTGAAACAAGAAATTCGTTATATCTCTCTGGAGCTCTGTAACTAACAAATTTCTTACGATCAAATGAACCTTTATCCTTACTCCCTTTGGTTTTGGGTGCCATAGTAACGGCAATTAAAAGGACCAGCCAAAAAAAAAAAAAAAAAAAAAAAAAAGAGTTCAAATGTAGGATGTATTTGGCTCAAAATGCAAGTTTAGAGCATAAATTAACCCTCCCCAAATACTTTTTCTTTTTCTTCAATGTTTTCTAGTTGGAAACCAAAAATCAACTAACATCCACGACAACTGCATCCGAGTTCAATTCATCAATTTTGCTTAGACCATGAAACTTAAAAGAGTGTGCTCTCAAATTTGGCTTAAGCTCACAAAAGTAAAATTAATTTAAATAATTTAAATTTATTTTGAAGGTATTTAGAAGAATGTAGTTTTCATCATAATATCAATGTAATTACTCAGATATTATGATGAAGGTATTTTGAAGGTATTAACTCTCCCCAAACTTCTTCATTGAAAATTTTTTACTCGTGAGAAAATAAAAAGAAAATTTTATATGATTATCATTATGACCATTGTATCAATAGAAATTTAATTTATCCTCAATGTTAAAGGGCTGCCTAATTGTACTGTTGATCAATTTTAGCTTTTTAATTATGTTAATTAAAAATAAAAAAAATTCAAATTTTAAAAATAGAAAAGTTAAAATATTATTCAAAATATTCAAGAAAAAAAAAATTGAATTAAAATATGTTAAATAGAATTGATAAACTATTATTATTTGATGATATAAAGTTCATATGGTTCAGCACAAGATACCTAAAATAATTAGCTTGATTACATATAATCACACAAGAAGTCAAAAGAAACAAAAGGAAAAAATGTAGTGCAGTACAAGAGTTAATTGACTAATCATCTATTCCATCTATCTAAAAAAGAAATTTATAGATAAAAAAATCACAATTAAATACACTTTTCTTTCCATATTAAAACAAAACATAAGCATAGAACCAATAAAAGGATAAATAAACCACACCTCCAAGATTAGAAAAATTATTCCACACGACATGCAGTGTCCATCTCCATCATTGATCACAGAGAGGATGTATTTCGGTGGAGATCGGACACCGCATATATTTCTTCATGTGGTGTCCGTATGGAATAATTTTTCCCAAGATTACAATCAGATATAACACAACTATTCACTCATTCAAAACGATCAAAATTACAAAACTGTTCTTAAAAAAAAAAAGTAAATAACTTTCATTTGAGACATAAACATGTATCTTTCAAATATATGGATGGATGCTAAGAGAGGCAGGAACATCCCATGCAAGTGATGATTCTCTAAATGAAATCAGAACCATGGAAGTGCTCAAGGTCGGGATGGGTACCACCTCCAGGCCGTCGTGGTTGCCTGCAAATAAAGTGTTTTTAACTTCAAAATGACTGAGGGATTAATGATTCTCAGCAGTTACTACTTGGGAAAAAGAGAACAAATGCTCTTTATTGTTGAATTCAAATTTGTTCATGGGATATGCCTCAAATCTTAATAGTCTTGATGAAGAAGGCTGGATCCTGTGCATAAAGTCATGCCCTTGGTAAATCAATCGAATTATTTTTGTCTTATTAGTTACTTTCGCTAGAGAACAAACTTTCCCTTTTTTTTTTTCCTTTCTCTGCAATCCTGCTTGTACCGCTTGCTTGATCGCAAACCTTCTTACCCCTTTGTTTGAATCTTACAATTATGTGAATTTTGCAATCACGTCTTGCCACCTTCCCGACTAAAAAACAAGCGATCTTCTGCAAGGTTTTCATTTTTGTTTTCCTTTCTGGGCTTTTGTCGTCTTCCTAACTGGGAGAACCATGTGATTTTCTTCTTCCTCCGTTGCTACCACCACCTCACTGCAATTATATAAGGGAGTCGAAGGCTAGGGCATCACAAAACTCCTCCTTGGAGCCAACGATCCTCCTTCCCATAGTCACTAGATCATTCCGATCTTGCTTCCTATTTTCTTCCTACAGCTTTTACAGCCGCCACCTCCCTCGCCTCCTTCCCTCAACTCGCAGCCTTGTTCTTAGTGGTCAAATAACTTAGCATTGTAGCCAAGGCTGAGGGTGAGTTCCCTCATCTTTTTTACTCATCTTTTTTCCAAGATGTTTGTATCCAATTTTATATTTATTACTTACACTTTGCTTGGTAATCTCATTAGATTAGAATATGATTAATTTGATATCAATCCCTACACTTAACCTAATAAGATAATTAATCTTAATACATTTAATTGCATAAATTTTAAATTTTAGGAGATTCTGATTTGTATAGGGTTTACTAGTCAATGCCTGTAGAACTAATAAATTTGGAGTTTAGTGTTCATCTCAAACTAAATAGTTGTTATTTATTAAAGGATAAACTTACACTTCCTAGTTAAGGACGTTATCCTTGCTATTTGAATCATATTCCTAGTTAATTGTAATATTGTCAAGTATACCCTTTAAATTTTGTTCATATATTTGTAGTAGATTATATTTTTGCTCATAATAACTTGCATGTGCAATTAGTCTTTATTACATAGACTTATGTTTAATTACACGCATTTTATGATTTTAGTATTTATTATTTCTTTCATAGCTTTGATATGTTAAATTTCATTGTTACAAGTTTATAATTATGTATAAATACTGATGACCATGTTACATTATTGTGTTTTAATTGTGATGCATGAAATATAATTGTATTATAATATTATTATGTTAATAAACCATTTTATTATGACTAGCCGAACCGACGGGTCCTCGGAGAAATCCTTGAATTTCCATGGGATTGGTGTCTAACTTTCATTGTTTCAAGGTATCGTAGGAAACCTAGTATATATATAAATATAATTACTTACACACACACACACTTATAATGCGCGCGCGCACCCACTTATAATGCACTTTTATATTGCCATGTAGTGCTATAAATGATTTTTATATCCTATATGTATTAATAGACAAGATATTTTGACATAAATATTTACATAGAAGTGCATATTTTATTCAAACTCACATTATATTTTATTCAAAGTCAGTCATATTTATGACAAAAATATTTGATATTCGTTGAAAAATTGTGTGATATATATATATATATATAATAATAATAATAATAAATTATCCCTTTTCATTGTACATATTGTATGCCCCAGTTTCTTGTTGTTTATGTTTTTTAATTAAAAATTATTATTTACTGAGTTTGATTAGTCAAAACCACTCGTTGAATTTTTATTTAGTATTTTTTACTCAATTAATTAGAGAACCATTTCCACAGGAGCAGACTTTTCAGCCTTAGATTTACTTTTGCTATTTTCAGTTTCACATTAGTTATTGTAATTTCCTTTCTGGGTCTAATAAGTTGTTTCCTATTGTTATTTCAGCTTCTTTCAATTATTTTCTTGTTTCCTTCAATTGTATCAATTATATGACTCTTATTTATGAAATGAAATAAATTCATGTTTTATTTATTATTATTATTATTATTTTTATATAATTATTTGTTTTTGAGAATACAAAACATGCTAACATCTTTTTTATCATGCCCAACATTGTCGGGACGTACCTTCTTCCCAACCTGGGCATTACAACGACTTGGTTGTCATATGGATAGATATGACCTCTACTATGACTATACTTGGGACTCTCCTACAGATCTTTCCTCTTCCGAAAAATTTTAGAAAAAGATAATGTGTCACAATTCCTAGCAAACCTAAACATGGATCTCGATGAAGTCTGCAGCCATGTACTTGGTCGTAATCCCTTTCCAACCAGGGCAACTTTCACTTAGATTTGCTGCGAAGAAAGTTGGAAATTTACCATGCTCAACAACTCCACTACTTCAGCCAAGCCTTCAGCCTTGGTCTCTAATAGTACTCCACACTCTATCGCGCCGTCGTGACCCAATCACTCCACATGTGATTTTTATCACAAACTCTATCATACCTGTGAAAAGTGTTGGAAGCTCCACGGGAAACTAACAAATAATTTTTTGGTCAAATCTGCTACTGCCAAAGGTCTCACTATGACCTCAAAATCCACAATAGTTCAGTCGGCCCCTACGCAGACCATCCCTGAATCAGCAGACTCTATCAAGTGTTAGGTTGAACATTTGATTAAGCTGTTGGGTCTAGTCAGCATTCCTCCAATCCATCAACCTGTCATGTACGCCAAGGTAACATCTCTAAGGCACTCGTTGGTTTTGTTTCTAGTGCATGGATTATTGATTCAAGTGTCACAAATCACGCGACCATAGATTCTCATTTCTTCTCGATCTATTCTCCATGGTTTGGGTAAGACACAATTAAAATTATGGACGACTCATGTAATTCCATTGCGGATAAAGGGTAAGTTGTACTTGCAGTCTGTTTGATTTTCAAATCTGTGTTATATGTTCCTTTACTTAAGTACAACCTCTTATCGGTCAATAAATTAACATGTAATCTTGATTGTGTTACTCATTTTTCCCTTGAGGCTTGTCTTTCAAGATCGTCGTTCAGGGAAGATGATTGGAACTGCTAAGCGGATAGTCGTGCTCTTTTTTCTAAGAAAATGACATTGATAACACTGGCACTCAATCTCACAGTTGTATTTTTTTTGTCTTTCAATTGCATATCAAATTATGTTTTTACATTGTCATTTGGGTCATCTCAGTTTTCATTATTTAAAATATTTGTATTCCTTGATGTTTACTGATAAAAATTCATCTTCTTTTAAATGTGAAATTTGTCAATTAGCTAAACATCAACATTTGTCATGTCCACCTCATCCTTAGCACTCCTTACACTTCTTTTTCACTTATTCATAATGATTTATGGGGATCATCCTCTCGAACAGTAAGCTATACCAATAAAAGATTATTTCTTACTCTAATTAATGACGACACTCGGATGTTTTGGGTCAATATTTTAAAGAATAAATCTGAAGCAACGACCATTTTTAAAAATTTACACTCCATTTTAATCCAATTCAAAACAAATATTCAAGTGCATCAGACCAACAATGGTCGTGAATACTTTAACTCTATATTAAGAGGATTTTTCATGAGCAAGGGCATCATTCATCATAGTTCTTTTACGGATACCACTCTCAACAAAATGGGTAGTCGAACTGAAAAATAGATGTCTTCTTGAAGTTGTTCGTTCCATTATGTTCAAAAGCAATGTCCCTAAACATTTTTGTAATGATGACATCCTCGCCGCCAACTACCTCATCAGTAGAGCTCCCACAAAAATCTACAACTTTCATACCTCATTATCCGTCTTGATGTCAACTGGTCCTCAACTTTAGTGCACGGCCTTTGTTCGAAACACAAACCCAATTCGCAGTAAACTTGATCTTCTGTTCATCAAATGTGTCTTCCTTAGCTATTTCGCCACTCAAAAAGGCTACTGGTGTCAGGATCTGACAACTAATAAAATCTATGTTAGTGTTGACATCTCCTTTTTTGAAAATATTCCTTTCTTCCCTAACACTACCTAAAGTGAGAGAAAACTTGATTGTTTGGACATTGTTCCTCTACTGACTCAGTTGGACATCTCTCTTACGACCACAGTGCCCGGTGCACGTTCAACACTGATGGATTCACCACCAGCCAGACCATCACCAACACCCTCTATCCGGGTTTATACCCTTCTTCCAAACCCTCTGTTGAAACTCGTCCCAATACCCTTATCATCGAGCCCACTGCTCCGCTACAGTTGTTGGAATCTGCTCCAGCTAACATCCCTAAAATGATGCGTTCTTCGCCTATGGGGGTCACTCCTAATCCAAGAGAAGATGTGAATCTCCCTATTAAGGTATGCAAATAGATATCGTCGGAAACTTTGTATCCCATGGTGAAATATGTATCATTACACATTTCTTCAACCTACAAAGCTTTTGCTACTTCTGTGATGGATCGTTATCTTTCATCCACTATAAAAGCATCTTTGGCTGGCCCGTCATGGAGGGTTGTTGGCATAGACAAGATGAATGCTCTTCAACGCAATCATACTTGGGATGTGGTTGATCTTCCCCAGGGGAAGAAAATGGTGGGGTGTCGGTGGATTTTTAGCATTAAGTTTAACTCTGATGGTTCCTTTGAAGGCAACAAGACACAATTGGTTGCCAAAGAATAATCTCAAACTTATGGAGTTGACTATGAAGAGATGTTTGCTCCGGTTGCCAAACTAAATACCATTCGGGTCCTATTATCACTAGTCGTGAATATGGATTGGTATTTACTTCAGCTGGACATCAAGAATGTTTTCCTAGATGGTGATTTGGCTGAGTAGATTTATCTGTCTCTCCCACCGAGATTTTGCTCAACTTCTTTACGTGGACAAGTGTGTCGATAGCGAAAATCACTTTATGAATTGAAGCAATCCTCACAGGCCTAGTTCGGCAAGTTCATGCAGGTGGTAGTGGGCAATGAGTTCTCTCAGGCTCAATCTGATCATGCACTATTTTTTAGGCATTCATCCAGTGACAGTATTGTCATTGTTAATGTCGACTACATTGTGCTCACATGTAATGATCTGCTAGTCTTGGAGTCTTACAAAGGCATTCTCGTCGCATCATTGAAATGAAAGTCTTTGGTTCTCTTTGATATTTCTTAGACATGTAAGTAGTCAGGTCCTCTCTGGCATTTGCCTTTCCTAGTATGTGATTGACCGAAACCAACCTTCTTTACAAAACGGTTTTTGTCCCGATGGACAAAAATAAGAAATTGTTGGATGTTCCCAAAATTGTTCCAGTTAAAAAAACCAATTACCAACGCCTCGCGGGTAAGCTCATTTACCTCGCCCATACTCGCCCAAAAATTTATCATTTCGTGAGAATTGTCGTTCTGTTTATGCATGACACCTATGAGCACCAACTAACAACGATTCATAGGATCCTCCACTACTTAAAAGGCACATCAGGCTCAGGTTTATTGTTCACTCGCCACAACTCCCACTCTGTTGCGGTTTAAACGAATGTTGATTGGGTTGGGTTTGTCCATTATATACGACACTTTAGGTTATTGATCCTTCGTACGGGAGAATCTTGTAACTTGAAAAAGTAAAAAGCAGTCTATGGTTGCTCGTAGTACTGTTGAAGCCGAGTTTTACTCTAAGGCTTGGGGTGTGTGAAGCCCTCTGGTTCTGCATTATACTCATCGAGTTATGCATGTCGGCCACTGCACCTCTACAAGTGTTCTGTGATAATAAAGCAGTCATTAGCATTGCTCACAATCCGGTCCAACATGATCGTACCAAACATGAGGAGATCGACTGTCACCTTATCAAGGAGAAACATGATTCCAGGAAGATTTGTGTTCAGTTTGTTTGATCTACTGGACAATTGGCATATATTCTCGCAAAGAATCTTCCTCGCCAGTTGTTTGATGATTTTAAATCCTAATTTAACATGATTGACATCTATGCTTCAACTTGAGGGAGAGTTAGAAGGATTGGATTTATTGCCCTTCTTATTTTATGTTTCCTTTTTATTACCCTTCATATTTTATTTATTCCTTTTATCTCCAAGTAATTATTAAGAATTATCTCTTTTCCTTTTTTGTTATTTCCTTTTTGATCTTTTTCCTATTTGATGACTCATATAAGGTGTATTTATATCCCCTTTTTATATCAATAAGTATTCTGTTGAATTCTCAATTCCTATATTTTGTAATAGCATCCAATTAAAATTAAAAAACCAAGATTAAAATTTATCCAAGATAAATAATAATAATGAGATCCCTAGGGATGAATTCAATTATCAAAAAATTATGGTAAAAAAGGACCATAGTCAAAATAAAAAACTCAATCATAAAAAACATGCTTTGAGCCTTTTCAATGTGATAGATACAATTATTGCAATATAACTGAGAAGATGAACTCAAAGTCCAAGAGAAAATTCTTTGAGTACTTTTTCCTAATGATGTGCATAATCAAAGCAATATCATAACTGTAGTGAACATTATTCAAATTCACGGCCAATCAAAAATGCAACATATATATATATATATTTCAAATGGTGGTATTTTGGAAATATCGCTCCCCATATGTGTTAGTCGTCCCCGTAGGGATCGAACCCGGGTCGGAAGAATCTTATGACTGACAACGCAACTGCCTATCAACTTGCCACCCTAAGCACACACTAGGGTTTAAAAGAAAAAAAAAAACACTAAAGCAACAGTTCATTCTCTGAGGCAGCCATTCCTCCATCATGCACACTATTTTGTTCATGAAGGCAATTGAAGTTTTGATTACAACAACAACAACAACAACAACAAAGCCTTAATCCCACTACGTGGGGTCGGCTACATGAATCCTTTTTCTCCATTGCGTCCTATTTAGTGTCATATTTTCATTTAGTTCTAGTAAATTAAGAAGTTTTGATTAAATCTTACAAATTGCAAATATCATATGAAGTGTGCCCAAATGCACACAATAAAAATTTTTTTGCCATAGAGGGCATAGTATATGACACTTGATCGGATGGTTAGACTAACTGCGCAACCAAAGCCCAACTATTCCACAAAGGTTAAATCTATGAGTTATCAGTCATAAGCAGTGCTTGATGGAGTATGACATTGTTAGCAAAAGTTAATTTAAATTGGCTCCTTTAGTAACCTCTCACCCCAAGTATAAAAGATCTTCTTGTATGACATAGCTCATGATTGCTAATAAAATCTGCAATTAGGTTTTTGTAAATTACTTGCACTAGGTAAAATGGAGTCAACCATATAATATTAATAAAAATTATCATCATATAGACCACCATCCACTCTAAGTATATCTTTCTCTCCTCAATTTAAATTATTCCTATTAAGTAAATTATCATAGAACCAATAGACCACGCTTAATAAAAAGTTTCTATCTTAATAGTGAGGTGATCAACCATAAGACTAGTTCCAGTTAGAAACTTCGAACCAAATCATAAAGTCTCCATTAGAGAGTGAAATATCTATATAATACTTATCCAAGTATCCAATGTGGCTTCAAGAAAATGAACTCAAATTCACTCACTCATAGTTGAATGAGACTTTTTGAAGACCACAATGTCTAAAGACTCAAAAGCAAATCAACAAGAGTTATTTCCAATTATTTAAAATAAAGATAAGTAGATGCTCAAGATTATTACCTCACAAATCGTTGCGGCTCAAAACCAGGCACATCTGGTGGACCATAGGGATCAAACCGAGCACCAGGTGGCACACCGCTGCAAACATGCTTTCATTATCCATATGCTCAAAAAATAAATACTATTTGCATCCCACATAGTGGATAAACACAAATAAAAATATTTTACTCACGGTATTCCACCAATATTTCCAGGTTGCGCACCAGGACCAAAAAATCGAGGATCATTAGGTCCTATTAACCAAAGATTCCGATCAAAATTGAATTAAGAACTTTAAAAAAAAAGTAAATTTTTCAAAAAGCAGAAATTTTCCAACATACCAACAAGCATGCCTCCACCCATGCCAGAACCCCTGCAAACAATGAATTTAAAATGGCAAATTACGCTTTGAAAAATAGTTATAAGTACATCAGGTGCTTGTAATTTTAAAACATAATTTATAAACTAACTATTTAGTAGGAAATTGAAATCATCACTTCTGAAAGAATTTTGAATAGATTTGTGTAGTTCAAAATCAATATTACTGTCTAACTACATCCAACCAAATGATGAATTTAACAATATTCATTATTTTTCATGTAACCAAATGTTCCCGGGAAAGGATAAAATAAAATAGAGATGAACCTTTCAGGAAAGAAACCAGCGCCTGGCCCCGGATAGAGATCATCGCCACCATATGGTGCAATAGGAGGATAAACCAAACTACAAAAAAAGAATAGAAGTGACCGAGGTGAGAAAAACAAAAGATTTTATAGTATCATATAGTGCAAAAGGAGAAGGTCGATATAGGTATAAAACCTATGCACTACTCGGTCAACCTTAAACATCTCTCTTACTTGGAGAGACCAATACATTTTCTGAATGAAACGGTAATATCATATTTGCTGTCACTGCAAAAGCTTTAAAATATTTGGAAATACAACAATGTTTTGTTGTATACAGCAGGAAGAAATCTGAAGCTTCAGATCAGGAAGACAAAAGTCATCCCAACGAATGTCAATAAACCCTTCCAATATATTCAACTAAAGAAATTCCTACTCCATAGTTAATCAACAAACCACTGTCATGCAATTTTTTTGCACATTTTGTTGTCTCTTCAACTCCAGCCACATGAAGTATGAGCATTCAAGGATAATATAAATAAAAATATCAACAGGATTAAATGATCCTAACTCCAAAGGAAACCACTTCAATATCCCAAACAAACACTATTAGTCTTAAACATTACACAGACAAAATAGACACTACCCGTGAAACCCAGATAAAAATATATTATTAATGTCAAATAGATATCCCAATGAATAATTAGTTAAAAGGTCATTCCATGTGCCCCATATGAGGCATTATTCCGATGGGTCTAATACATGGATCATTAGGTATAAAGCAAAGGAATTATTGATTCATAATAAATTATAGTAGCCAATTTGTAGCTTGGGATTAGAAGCAAATCAAAATAGGAATACAAGAGGCCAACTATGCTTCCACTAGAACAAGTTCGATTACTTGAAAACAGCATAGTTATACTTCAAACGATATTAAATTGCACAAGCTTTCACTTACTATAAAACTACAATATGCTTGATAGTATAAAGAGTACATGGGAAGAGATTAAGAAGAACAAGATACCCGGAAGGCATTGGTTCGTTATGTGGAGGGAGACCAATTGTTGTTCCTTTGTTGGTGCCCTCCGCAGACCTGTCAATACTGGCATAAAAGAACTACCAATAAATTAAGCGGTGCCGTAAGAATGAAAATACATACTTACAAAACCATTAAAACTTGTCATGTACAAATATTAAGGGTAAGTGAAAAAAGAATACTATTTCCTTGGTTCAACTTTAAAAAGAAAGAGAAACACAAGTAAATAAGAAATTTAACCACAAAATGTTTTTAATTGTAATTCATTCTTTATTCTAAGGAGCATTGTGTTTGTAAACCTTTGTACAAAATAAAGACGGATCCAACCAAGCGAACCAACTAGTAACAAATAAATTTCATATGATAAAAGGTGATGGGAAACATAATCATTTTGACCAAGCCTTAATTAAAAAATACAAATAAGAGGAATTCTTATTTGTAAACAAATGGATCATGCAGGTATCATGTTTGAAGGATAAGGTTGATACCAGAACTAGTAGGAGGAACAGTGGAGCTTAAAAACAGCTTTTATTAATATAGAAATAGAATTACAGCACGAATCAAACAAAAAGGGAATAAATAATAGACGAACCTTCGGTTAGGGATGTAGGAAGAAATCCAAAGGATGAGGTGACATTGGCGTGGTGGTAGGGAAAAATGAGGGGAGTTGGTAGGGTGTTTAGTCGG